TACAACAAAAATAGCCAAACACATAAAAAAGAAAGGAATAACACCAGCTTTCCGAACAAATAACACCCTAGGCAAATATATCAAAAACTACAAGAGCCAAAAACAAAATACTTACACAGTGGTGTGTACAAACTTAAATGTGGCGACTGCCCAAAAACTTACATCGGTCAAACTGGTAGAAACTTTAACAAACGAATAGCAGAACATAAAAGGGCTTTCAATAATAGAAAAACAGATTCTACATACGCACTTCACCTTCTAGATCACAATCATTCTTTTAACGACGAATTTAAAATTCTTCACATTCAAAATAAAGGCCTTAAAGTATCCTTGTTAGAATCTATGGAAATCAACAAATTAAAAAACACAGATATAATTCTGAATGACTAACTTGAGACAAACAGTTCTCCCGTCCTCAACCTATTTCATTAGAGACTATAAATTTGTAAACCCAAGCCAAAAATAGATCACTTGAGAAAGGCAATCAGCTGAAACAGCTCTAGTGATAAGTTAAAATAAATTTTGGGGAAGTTTGAAAACAAAGTTTTCAGTGTTTTATTGTTACATAATATAATATTCGAAATTGCGAATATATGAAGAAGCTAATAAGACACATGAAAATAAAAAAAAATTAAATTCTACACAGCATAGTTTGAAAGGTTTAGTTAGATTCAGACTACTATATTTTCATCACGACATGTAGCTCTATTTAAAATGATTTACACACAGGGTTCACCAACCACCAAGAATCTGGGTATGGCACGAAAAGAATTTACAGCTTTTTTCTTTTTCTTAATCGCCAATATATTGTTTGTTTTAATTGTATCTAATTTTATGTTGTAACACGTAGTTACTTCAACTCTATACCGGTTTGCTATTACATTTCGAAGACTAAACACACGTATGTACGAGGAAGTTTTATATTTTTCTAATTAATGAGAGCCGTTAGTAATTAACTAACGCTAATTAATTGATAGACAACTGCAAATGGGTCGGTGTTAATTTTAATGAAGAGCAAGTTACGTTGAACCGCTATGTATGGCTCCAATGACTAACTGTGTCTCCTGTGGCCGAAAATCAAACCATGAACATTGAGTTTAAGTCTTACGTAAAGTGTGTATTATGTTTGTAATGATAATAAAACGGCAGCTAGTCGATAACTAACATTATTACAAATTATCATATATATACTTGTTTTTCTGTTTCTATATTCTTATTAGGCAATTCATCGTAGTTCTTCTTTTAATTTTTAGAATATTAGTGTAGTTAGTTGGGGCTGGGGGATGCGCTATTCTTCTAATCGGCGTAAAGCTGAGCGGGAAAAGAACAAACCTCAGGGGACAAGTTTTGCATGGAGAGTCTTAGGACTTTCTTCTTCTTTAAGTGCCATCTACGCGACGGAGGTTGGCAATCATCATGGCTACTCTGACCTTCGAGGCAGCTGCTCTGAACAATTGCTTTGAGCTGCAATCAAACCACTCTCTCAGGTTCTTCAACCAGGAAACGCGTCTTTTTACGCTTCTCCTGACCTCTATTTTTCCTTGAATTATGACTTTGCGCCTCCTTAAACTATCCCAATACCGCTGGGTGCCCCCAACAATGATTGGGGGTGTGTAATCAGTATTTGACTGCACCCTTTACGTGGTGGCCCTGTTGAAAGTAAACTCAGCGGATCTAGACTAGATAGTCGATAAACAATAAGGTCACACACCTTACCTTCGCAAGCGGGGCTCTGCGAGGGGTTGACTGTCTTTCCCTAGCTACTCGTGAGACCAATATGGAATATGTGAGACCTAAAAAAAACAAATATAGTAAAAACTCAAGGCCAAAGGGTTTCCGATGCCGAAGGGCAAGGGAACTCCAGAGCCAAAATCACAGTTCCTAAAGCCGAAGGGCAGGGAGCTTCTGGAGAAAATCCGAACGCCGAATTGCCCGGAATTTTTAAAAAATCTCCCAAGCTGATAGGCAAGAAAACAAAAAAGCTATCAGAGTAACAGCGTTGGAAGACGTTGATCTCATGACAGACGAAGAAATTAGGGTTGCAAAGCTATCTGGCGTCAATAAAGCCAAAATCAGGAGGCTGGTGAAACAAGGCCAAGATTACGTTCAAGCCAAAAGCGCTGTAATCAAGGCCAATTTCATCAAGGCGGCTGAAAGAGCAAAAGAGATGCCATCAAAGCCATTAGAGGCCATAACAAAAGTAATACAAACCCAAAAGATCGATGGCCCAAAAAGGCTAAGGTCAGACGAAAGCACGCCACCCGAAAGCCAACGCAAAGGGAAAAGGCCAAGAACCGAAGGTGTGACTTTCAGCGAAGCTGCCGCTCCTGTTAAGGCTGCAGTGATACTAACAGGATTCCCGGAAGCCAAGATGGATAAAGACAAGCTTAAGGCAGTCGAAATAGCCATCTTGGGAGCGTATGACAAAATTCCGGAAGCAGGACCACAGGTTCGCCTCCTGAAGAGTACATACAGGCTGGGTTTCCTGGAACTTAACCCTTCGGACGACATAAGGGCGCAGTTGCTAAAGGAGGTGATTCCAACCCTGAGGCCTTGGAAGAGTGCATCTCTTAGGGCTGTGGAGGGGGAAGACATACCCAAGACGAACTCGTGCGCTGTCTTCGTACAGGACGAGCATGGGGAAGGTCTTGAGCCCAAAAGATCCTTAATAGATTAAGGATAAGTAACCATGGGCTCAGGACACATCTATGGACAGTCTGAGGTAGTAAACATTTAAAGACAAAGGGGTGTTATGGACCTTCTCGATGGATTCTGAGTCTCGAGAAGAACTCCAGAAATTAAAAATGTCACCCTTTTTCGGTGTAAGACGGTTAACGTTCCGACCCAAAGAAGGGAAGACAAAAACACGGAATGAAAAGCCAATAGCAACTCACGTTCCAGTGAAATAGGGGAAACCTACCTATATGTGGAGGTTCAGGAAGAGGAACAACCTTCTTTGGGTGGAGCTGACATATTCATAAGGACTAATGTCCAAGTGTGTGTCGGATTCACGGAAGAAGGAATGTCCACAGATCCATCCAGAACTGGCCATCTCTTCGCAACGAAGAGAGAAATAAGGCTCCTGCAGGCCAATCTTCAACATGCAAAAGCAGTATCGGCAACGCTAGTTAGAAGAGTGGAACAAGAAGGCATTGCTGTGGCCCTCCTGCAGTAGTCTTGGAGGATAGGTGAGAAGATTGCTGGCCTATCAACCAAACAAGGTAAGGTTTTATACACACCCAAAGATATAAGGCCAAGGTTGTGTATAATTCACAGTAATAGAGGATTGTACACTAATCCCGGTGCTCTGCACCGATGATATTGTTACAGCTGTTCTAACTATAACCACGGAAGTAGGAGAGAAGAAACTGGTGGTGTGTTCAGCCTACTTTCCAGGTGATGAGGCTCTGTGTCCACCAAGCATTATAAGTGACATAGTTGCACATTGTCTACGAAAAGGATTACAGCTCTAATTAAATTTAATAAAGCCATTATGATATCTTGGATACTTTCTTTATATAGTTCAGCTGGAAGATTATCTATTCTGGGTGATTTGTTTCTGGCTAGTTTTTTAATTGTATCTTTAACTCCAAAATTTGTTGGTGGTTGCTCTTTGAAAGAATATACGCAAATAAAACTTTAGATGGGATAATCATATTGGAAATTTCTTCATTCTTCTTAATAGCAAAGAACATGTTCAATCCTCGGTCTCTTCTAAACAGACACATCAGCGTTTTTAACTTATTGGAATCCTTTAGCTAAGCGTAATTATTATACATAGTAGTATTTTATTTTCATTATTTTTGGCGCTGCTTTTAAAACTTTTTATCAATCTCGTAGAAATCTGCACTCGTTAGAATTGAATCCACGGAATATTTTCGCAACAAACTTTTGTATTATTATAAGAGATATAATAGCTTTAATTATTCTTACAATGATAGACTAATTAGATCAATTAGTGTGATTGCATCAAAATAGTGGGACAATTATATTGAAATGATCCTACTTAGTCTTTTTAAAGTTTATAGTGGTTAGATAACTGTTCTAGTTCTTCACAATGTTTCATTCATTTAACAAAGCACAAGGACGTAAGGCAAAAACCACCGCACCGGAATGCGCATTAGGTCCAATCTAATAGCATATGGTGATAGTAGTTAGTGGTACTTTATTATTTCTTCACTCCCTATACCTAATTGCTTAAATTTGTGAGTTAGTCGTTATTCTTTGAGCCAAACATTAACTGCAAGAACAATTAGGTGAAATTTTATTAGATTAGCCATAAACAATATTAAATCTAAAATAATTTTTGGATAAGTAATACTCTTGGATGCGCCTTGGCTCGCTTCTGATTAGGTGGCCAATATTCTCCTGGGTATCTCGTTCCATGCCCTGATTAACTCCTTTCGAGTGCTTCCAAAGGAGGATGCTCTAAATTAAAAAGTTGACTAATCATGTCCCAAACGTGTTCAACTGTATTGAAAATGCATTTTGAAATGAGTGTTCAGCTCTGATTGGAATTTTGAAATCATGTTGATTTCTTATAGGAATTCTAAGAGTCTTTCCTTCACGATCCCCTCGTAGACTTTACCTAGAGTGTTAAGTAGAGATATTGGTATATATAATTCAGTGCTGGTTAGGGGTTTCCCTGGTTTGGGAATCATGATTATATTATAGGAATATTTATAGTCTCCAGTCTTATTACAGGAATAGTTATAGTCTCCAAAGTGCTGTGGAGAGTAGTAGAGTATATCTTTCAGTATGCTGTCTTGTGTCAGTCTTGTGGCTTGGATATTATGTTGTTTACTTTGAGATGAGAGTAAGGCCTTGACTTTTGTTTGGTTAGGGTTTTGAATTTGTTCCAGACCCAAAAACTGGAAGTTTTCATCCCTTATATATTCACGCCACTGGTGCACCCGCGTATAACGCAACCCACGTGACTGAGTTTTCTGCAACTTTTTTAAAGGTGAAAATAACGTGGGCGTTTCATAGCGACATAACATGGCAACGTATGTATACGAACCTCAAATAATTAAATGACAGTTTTCAAATGGATCGTATTCGGAAAATAAGTGCTATCGATATAATTAAAGAAGTAGAAAAACATCCTATTATTTACGATTTCAAATATCTTCCACCTTGTGATCAGCTGATATCTGAGAAAAAGAAAAAGACATGGGAAATTATTGCTGAAAATTTACATGGGAAGAGATGGGAAATTGCAGGTGAAGTTGAGCGAGAAAATATAGGTAGATATATATTTATTTAGACAGCTTTTTTAGAAACAAAATCAAAAAGTAACTTAAAAACTGTTATTTAACACGAATTTTTCCTCGCAAATTAATTGGTAACATGGCAACAGGGTTTTAAATTCATTCTCTATATCTAATGTTTGAGGTTATGTTTAGTTTTGTAATGTTTACAAATTTGCAAGACATTCAACTAGAGATTGTGTAGCTCTTGATAAAAACATCTGTATGTAAGTTTGCATAAATAATTATTTTAACCATTTTCTGTAACTGTTTTCTATGTTGGTTTTGTTAACTTTTAAATTTATTGATTTTAAAAATAATGTATGGCTCCAATCTTGTTGGTTCTATTCAAAGAATTGAATTTAGTGGAGTTTTAATAATCGCATCTACTTAGTGCAAAAAAATTTATGTTTATTTGGTATTGTTTATCTGTCTAGAAATATTTTGACACTTTTTAGCTATTATATTCATTAATTATGGGTATATAATGACCCCATTTTGTTGACAGTGTCCTAGTGTCAATAACAATAAATTTTATGACATTCAGGAATACTCTTCACTATCAAGAAGGACTCCTTTAATAGTATCATTCAACATAATATTTCAGCTTGAGTTCTAATTCTTTTTAAATCTGTCATTACTTGTAACATAATGGATCATTGGTTTTTAGCAGGAATATTTTTATTTCGGAATCTCTATAAGATCTTCAAGTTTAATTTGCGAACAGAACAATTCAATTGAATACCATATGTACCATATTGGCTTCATTATGGCCTTTATATTTTAAGATCTTTTTTATTAGATACAGATAGATAAGATAGAGTTAGGGAGGTGACCTTGTGCAACCTTTTCATATGTGGTCCACTAGTCCTAGATAACATTCTCTAGCCTGCCCCTTTTTAAAAAGTCTAATAGCTTCGAGACTGTACCTTCCATGTAGCTATTTGCTGGTGTATTTTCTTCTCCTAATGCAAAGAACCTCACATTTGCCAGACTATCACACTGACATAGAATGTGCTTTGCTGTTTCTTTATCGAGGTGGCAGTTATTAAATATATTTATGATTTTTTCTCAATACAACATGCTATCGTTGATCCACAATTTGTTTTATTTATAGTTTTTAGAGGAGTAATGGACATAAGGAATTGATGTATTTACATTAAATAGATGTATATAAACATAAATCTTTTAAATAATCTAGTACATGCTCTGTGGTTGTAGTCAAGGTGTTATTTTCTTCGTAGTACTGGCAATCAAATATAATATGTTTCACTGTTACAGGATGAGAACAGTTTGTAAAGGTTGGTGAAGATTCTTTTTTGATTAAGAGTTTATGGGTTAGTGTAGTATGTCCAATTCTTAGTTGGGTAATTACTTATTTCTTTGCCTTTTCTAGTTAATGGATTATTCAAGACGATCTTCGCATTAGGAGAGATTTCCATTAGGTTGGTTTTTGCATCTTTGCAGTGGTTTTGCCTTAGAGTGTAGGCTTTTAAGGTCAGTGTATGGATGATTTCTAAATTTTATTGGGTATTGAATTCAATTTTATTGTTTGTTGAAATGCTTGTGGGAGATGGTCACTAAAGGCATCAGCTATTTGCATTATTCTTTGGACATTATATTGTAGTTCTTTTTGGTGTTATTGATACTTGAAGACGTTTTAGTTTCCTCAATTCTTTCCATAATACACAGTTCGTGACTTAATGTTGGCTTAAGTTCTTCCAAATATCGTTGAATATAGAATTTATTTTTATACCAAGTATCAATTTTTAGTTCCCTTATGGCTTTATTAAATCTTTATTGTTAACTGTTGTTCTTAGCACATCATCATCAACAGCCCATAGTCGTCCACTACTGAACATAGGCCTCCTCGAAAAACCTCCATTCAGATCTATCTTGCGCTACTGTAATCCAGTTGGTGCAAATCATCTTTATGTCATAGTTTATTCGTCTTCCGGGTTTGGACCGTGTCATTTGTGAGTGACCCAAAAGTGGGTTCATCTCGACGTTTCCAAATTAATATTAATTGCGAATCATAGATGATTAAGCAACCCATCAATATTTATTCCTTTGCTTTCCCATTCCAGTGACTTCAAAGCATGTCCAAGTACAGTAATGAACAACTTAGGCGACATAGTAATTCCCTGTCGAATACCTCTTCTGATATGTATCTTATTGGTAGGACCGTGCAGATTTATAGTTGTAGCATTTCTGTATATATTTTCTATAATATTGGTGTACCTATGATCAATTCGACACTCTTCCAATGCCTTTATAAGTGCGGTTAGTTCGATAGTATCAAATGCTTTATGGAAGTCTATTAATGTTAGAACTAGAGGTCTATTGTATTCAATTGATTTTTCAATCATGACTTTTATGCACTGTAGGTGGTCATTTGTACCGTAGTTGGGGCAAAAACCAGCCTGTTCTCGTGGCTGATAAAGCTCAAATTTTGCTTCCAATCGATTGGTTATTATTCTGGTGTACAGTTTGTATAAATGGTTGAGTAGGGAAATTGGCCTGTAATTCTCTAGGTTCATGTTATTACCTTTTTTATGCAGAAGAATTGTAATGGAGTTATTCCAAGCTGTAGGAATTTTTTGACTATACAAGCAGATATTGAAGAGGTCTCAAATTTTTTTCAGAAGAGAAGTTCCGCCAAGTTTTATAGCTTCTGTAACTATTCCATCATCTCCTGGCGCCTTGTTGTTTTTCATTTTTTTGAGAGTATATTGTATCTCATCTTGAGTAATTTCTGGAATGTCCTCAGATCCCTGGTTTTGAACCTTTTGTCTACCGTCTTCATTTACATTTGTTGTTAATTTGGTTTGTGTATAATATAGTGTAGAATTCTTCAACTATTTCAAGTATTTTCTTTGTTACTTACCCTCTTTATTCCTAAGCTGGAAAATTTCTTTTCCACTTGTCGCCATTTTTCATCTCATTACCCTCATGCTCCCGTTTTGCTCTATAGTCTGTACGATTTTTTCATGTTTAAATTTCCTAATATCTCTTCTCACAGTTTTCGATATGTCTTTATTGAGTGCCCGAATGGTTTGTGGGTCAATGTCCCTTCCACTTTGTACTTGTTCTTAGCACATTTTCCCTGAAATTTTTTCTTTGAGGTTTACAGAACAGTGTTATTTTATCGTTAACTATGAATATTACATAAAATTGAGTCCATGAAGTTCTATTTTTTTGTATATATGTTTTATCTCACTCAAGCAAGTTTTGTTTTATACATTTTAAAGTTATATAGTTTTATAGATTGCAGTCTTCATAGAGTTTATAACATCCACTAAGTTATACAGTTTCAAATCACCCCTGTCATTATTCGTCTTAATCTATTAATTTGTGTCCAAACATGTCCCAACTTCTCTTTAAATTATCTATTATGTTGTCTGGTTACTTTTCATTTTACAAAAGAGTCATACTCTGTTCATCTTTATATTTCATCTAAGGTGATGTTAAGAATGTTTGGGTACAAACTACTAGCATTAAGAAGAATAACAGAATACATTTAGGAGTCAGGGGGAAAAACAATCTGAGTCCACAAAAACAGTTTTCATGGAAATCAAAATTTAATGTTTCAAATTAAAACAAACTGTTTTAATTCAACTGTATAAATCAGTAACTTTTTTCAGTGGGATGTTGACATGTTTACAGAGGAAAAATTAAGAGAAAACAAAAAATACTTTATTTGCAAAACATCATACAAAAAATTTAGTGTGCTGGCGTGGACCATGAACATTCCTCCCCAGTACCTTCAAGCTTCTACGTCACAAAATGTTTGTAGATCAGCGTAGAACTTTCTAGAGTTGACATTTTTTAAATATTTGGCCAAGTGGAAAAGATCTTGTAACTTAGCATCTTTGACCGAAAGTGGGCCATTGTACTTAAAGCTTCGGGTTGATTATGTCTAGTAACTTCCAGAGTTGTGATATTAACTTCGTTTCATTTAACATTGCATTCAAACAGCGAGCTTGCAAATAACCCAGAATAGGTATTCTTGTAAAAGATAAATTGAGGACTATTTTCCTGATTTCCAACACTCGAATAGGTTTCGTACTGTACTGGTTCGTAATAGGATACTTGTTGGAGAAATGTTTAGTCCAATTCAGAAATTTGATAACTTTCCCACAGTCCACCACTTGAAACGGTTTTGGTTTCACTCTGCTCTTGGGTAGGACTTCTCTATAATCATCCGGAGTTTCTGTATAAGCTTTGTCATTAATTAAAGTCATGTCCGGGTCGTACTCTAGATAGGAATGTTCTCTGATGGGAAACATTACTTTCACAAACTCAAACCGTCTTTCTGTCTGAACTAGATAATGAAGGAACCAAAAAACTGTGTTATTTTTATATTGCTCTCATGAAAAAACTGTAAAGACCTGATGGTGCTAACACATCCCAAAAGGGAGTAGGACTGATGAGGAGGAGGTTATGGCTTCGGTATCGATTGCATTGCATTGAATAAAATTTTTCACTTCTCCCAAGATGAAGTTGTTTCTCGGTGTTTTTTTCTTGTAATTTCTTCAAGATTTGGGTTTTATATTCACCACTCCTGGCATCTAATTTCTGCGAAATGGCAGATATTTCCGCTTTTATAGTGTCACAGTAGCTACAGGTGTCTTTCCTAGGAAACTTGAATGCAATATTAAACTTTGTTTCAAAAATTTTGCGAAACTTGTCATACGATGATTTTTTTCTAAGTATGTAAGTAACTTAGTTATGTTGAGTTTTTCAAGGAGATAAGTTTTCTTACTTTTTTTTCGGTAGTAATGCGATTTTCTTCCTTTCAAGGAACCAATAAATTCTGTCACTTTGACGATAGTATCTTCAGAAATTTTGTGGGGCCTATTTTCGTGTTTTTCTCTAGCGTCTTATGGTACAGTGCTAGTTGAGGCCAGTGATTCTCGAATTCTTTGCACTCGGGAAGCAGAAATTCCATGAATGGATAAGAATGCTTTAAAACATACTTGCACATCATGAAAGTCTTCATCAGGACTACTCCTAACACGATAGGAATAAGAAGCAAGATTAGGTGTCCCTGTACCCTAGTATACTCGAATTCGTCGACGCATAACTGGGAGAACGGTTATCAGATCACTTTAATAACGATTCTGATCGTTGTACTTAGCAAGTTCATTGAATTGAGTTAAAATGCGTCGTCTTTCGGCTTCATTGACGTTCCCAAAACAACGAAATCGGTGGCACTTGCAATCTGGCCCTACCTCATGAGTGGTGGCTCTTAGAAATTTCATAATGTCATGAACACGGCCTGTTTTTCTTCTTTTTTTTTGCAGCAGTCTCCACATCTACATTACAACAGTCGTCACCACTACTTTCCATTTTAATCAGTATGTACTTACTACTTTAGAGATTGTGCAAGCACTCCTGACCACGGCGCAGTAGACGGAAGTTGGTTTAGTCCCCACTTCCATGCGAAACGCATTGTACTATCTTCTTCTTCCTATGCCGTTCCCATTAACGGAGGTTGGCGACCACATTTTTAAAAGCTTCTCTGTCTTTTGCAACGTGGAATAATTCGTCTACAGTCATGTTTGTCCAGTCTCGAATATTTCGCAGCCATGACTTCCTCTTTCTACCTATTCCCTTTTTGCCATCGACTCTACCCTGCATGATGACCTGCAGAAGACTATATTTATTATTTCTTAGTATGTGTTTAAGGTATGCAGTCTTGCGTACTTTTATCGTTCTCAACAATTTTTTGACTCGACCCATTCTTCTCAGCACTTCCTCATTGGTGACCCTGGCAGTCCATGGGATTCTCAACATTCTCCGGTATATCCAAAGTTCAAAGGCTTCAATCTTTTTAACTATTTGCGCTTTTAGTGTCCATGTTTCTACCCCGTACAATAATTGCGACCAGACGTAACATTCAACAAACCTCAGTCTCAGCGCAATATTCAGATTTTTGTCACAGAACAATTGTTTGAATTTTAAGAATGCTGCCCTTGCCATTTCTATTCGTATCTGGATCTCTTGGTCTGGATCTAATTCTGTGTTGATGTAAGCTCCCAGATATTTATATTTTGTCACTCTCTCTATTTGCTGTCCACCAAGAGTTAGTTGTTCATTATTTATTGGACTCCTTGATACTATCATAAATTTGGTCTTATCTGTGTTGATGTCAAGTCCCATTTGAATGCATTCACTATTTATTGCATCTAGTAAAGTTTGTAGATCTTCTATACTCTCAGCCATAATTACCGTGTCATCTGCAAATCTCATGGTGTTTATGATTTCTCCACCAATTCTTATTCCCTCTTTTCTTTCCCATAAGGCTTTTCTGAATATGACCTGTGAGTACACGTTGAAAAGCGTCGGAGACAAGACGCATCCTTGCCTAACCCCTCTCGCAATCGGTATATTATTTGTTTCTATATCGTTCACCTTTACTACTGCTTTCTGGTTCCAGTATATAGCCTTAATAAACTCAATGTCTTTTTTGTCTAAATTGATGTTTTTTAATTCATCTATTAACTTCATATGCTGCACTCGGTCAAAGGCCTTCCTAAAGTCTATGAAGCATACATATGCACTCTTGTTATATTCCCGACATTTCTGCAAGAGTACCATCAACGCAAATAATGCCTCTCTTGTTCCCATGCCTCCTCTGAAGCCAAACTGAGTTTCATCTATCTGTTCCTCACATTTCTTATAAATTCGGTTTTGAACAATTTTCAAAAGAATCTTTAAAGGGTGGCACATTAGGCTTATTAATCTATAGTCATTACATGATTTGGGATTGTTGTTTTTTGGTAGAGGTAAAAATATCGATTTAAGCCATTCTTCCGGGATGTTGCCCTCTACATATATGTGGTTGAGAATTCGGGTGAGTCTCTTTATATTACCGTCATCTAAGGCTTTTAACAGTTCAACTGGAATTTGATCAGGACCCGGTGCTTTCCTTGTTTTGCATTCTGTAGGGCATTCTTTACTTCTGAGGGTAAAATTTGTAGGTATTGTTTTTCTTCACCTATATCTTGTTCATTTTCTCTCTCGTCATGGAAAAGATGGATTATATATTGTTCCCATACTTCCTTTATTTTGCTCTCTTCAGTAAGTATTTCTCCATTATTATCTCTTGTTATGTTTTTTATGTAAGTTTGAGGTGTCATGTTTGTTGCTGAGTTCTTCCAATTCCTGGCATTCTTTGTTCATCCATTCCTCCGTAGCCTTTCTGATTTCATATTTGATTTTATTCTTGATGGTTTTATATTTATTTTCATCTTTATTTTTGTATTTTCTTTTTTCAGTTATTAGCTCAACTATTTCCGGTGTCATCCAGTCTTTTTTAGTTATTTTCCCTTCTTCGCCTAGGACCCTCCTTTCCCGCTTTTAGTATGGCTTTTTTCATATCTGCCCATTCAACGCTTCCTTCAGTTAATTTATTTATCTCTGCGTTTAGTTGCTGTTGGCAGTTGTCGTCTTTTAGGTTTTTGATGTTAATTTTGGTGGTTTTAACTTTTTTCTCCGGTTTCCTGAGTTTAATGTTGACGTTTGCTAGTAATAGATTATGATCCGTATCTGCATCTGCGCTTGGATAGGTTTTTGCACTTTGTACTCCATTACGAAACCTTTTGTTTCGTAATGCATTGTACTATGCACTGTATAATTTCACTAACAGTAGAACCGTTCTGCTTTTACGTAAATTTTGACTCCGCCTTCGCGCAGCTCCATGGTACGGAGTGTTTGCACTCCGTACATTTACTATTGTTCAAATAGAATCATCTGGCAAACTAAAAGACACCAACGAAATTGCTAAACTAAGATAGAGAATCACAGAAATGCTACACCCGACTCGACCTGTTGAGACAGAGAGGGGGTCCTTCGGACCCTGACGGTAATTCACTCGCAGCACGCGGACTATGATGGTTCTTCCCCAGTACACCGTTTCATCTAACATTTTAAGGACTGTAAATGTTTTCTCTTTTACTACGTACCATCTGAAAGTAATATCTATTTATCACTAGAAAACTTCTTAATTTCGACCAAAAGTGGACTACGATTGTTTTTTCCCCCTGACACCTCAATTTGAATATGCATAACTTAGTGGATATATACATATACTCCCAATATGGCTGTGAAAAAAATAAGCTTAACAAACACTACTTTATAGTGGCTATTTCTCTCCTATTCCAGCAAAAGAGATACAGTTTAAATGGAAAAATGTTAAGGATAATTTCATGAAGACATTGCGAAAGGAAAAGGAGGATGAAGATAATGGAATATTAGCTACTAAGAAAAAGAAGTATATTTACTATGATTTGTTAAGTTTTTTACGTCCATTTGTATTTTCTCCAAGAAAGTAAGTGAATGAATAGCAAATCTTTTTATGTTATAGATTTGATAGTTAAGTTTTTAACACAAATAATAGCTATTAACAAAACTATAATTTAACGCTATTGGACAAACTTTTATTAGGAATAATAACGTTTAATGAAAAGACAGTTAAGATTTGATTTCAAGTATAGTGCCTCTACAATTCGCTTATATGTATTTCGTCCTAGCAGTACTCACCACAGCGATAGGATAAAAGCCCTGGGGCCTTATTCTTGAATCGAGAGAAAATTTTACTCCCCACTAAGCTCACTCGCTTTTCTACTCCATCATAATTTCTCTCGATTTTAAAAAGCTGTATTCTTGAATACGGGGAGTAGAAAGGAATGAGAGAAACTATGAACAGTGTTGCCTGGTTTTCAATGAAAATTTTAACCAATCACAAAAGTTAATTATTGACAAAGGACAAGATACTGTCAACCGTCAACCTGATCACTCCCCTTAGTGGTGGGCCAACCTGCGATTTTTGTGTAGCTGTGACAAAATGTGACTGCTCCAGTATTATCACGGTGACAAAACGCAGTGATTTTTTGGAGCAGTTTAATCTTAACTGCTACCCTGCTACTATTACTACCTTTGAATATTCCGAAATATATTTTAAAATTTGTAAAAATTTTCTATCTGACAAAAGAAATGGGTCCGTTGGTTGGAGGACATCCCGGCCAATTTGAAGATCTTCAACTGCCTCCAAAACATCATTAAGCATAATATAATTCCAGTAGAGCATATTATTGATATCCATCTTTTATTAACTTCCGCTTTTTAAAAAACAAAATACTTCCCTAGGTTTTTGAAAGGTTATGTATTGTTATTTTCGCTCCCATTTACAATTTCTCTTACCTACTATCAGTAGAAATTGTTATTCCCTTACATTTCTCTCACACATTAGGAGAGTTTTTTTAAGAATACAGCATTTTCGGTTTTAGGGAGCCACGCCTACTTTTACGTCACTTTCTCTTGCAATTTCTACTCCCTGAAATTCAAGAATTTTTTTGTTATTTTTCATTTGTTATATATTTTTTTGAAAAATGTAAAATAACAAAGCCCCAGGAGAGGATGGAATCGTAATAGAAGCTATCGTAAATGGAGGAGATATGCTATTAAATAAATTAAAGAAACTATTCAATCTATGTTTGCAGCAAAGAGAGGTGCCCAAAGAGTGGAACAATGCTACTACCATCCTTTTGCATAAAAAAGGAGATAGAACGGACCTAGAAAATTATAGACCTATTAGCCTGTTGAACCACATATACAAGCTCTTCACTAGGGTAGTGACATCAAGATTGGAGAAAAAAATAGATTTCTACCAACCGAGAGAGCAGGCAGGATTCCGCTCAAACTATGGTACCAATGATCACCTCCACACAGTAAAGACACTCATTGAAAAATCTATAGAATATAACAAACCTCTTGTTCTCACTTTCATAGATTTTCATAAAGCTTTCGACACGATCGAATTAGACAGCCTTATAGAAGCAATGAATGACAGCAGAATTGACCATAGGTATAGTGAGCTTATTTATAATATTTACAAAAATGCCACTATGACTGTTAAAATAGACAGTAAAACCCGACCAATAAAAATAAATCGTGGAATAAGGCAAGGAGATACATTGTCGCCGAAATTGTTCATAACAGCATTAGAATATGCCTTTAAGATGATCAATTGGGACCACAGAGGAGTAACGATAGACGGCGAAAAGCTTAACCATCTCCGTTTCGCAGATGACATTGTCCTTATCACAGATAATTTAGGAGAAGCTACAGATATGTTAAACGAATTGGATTTTGCATGTTCGAAGGTGGGCCTGAGAATGAACTTGACCAAAACTAAGTTTATGACAAATTTGGTCCCCAATAACCATTTGACAATTCAAGACAAAGTGGTAGAACTGGTGGAGAAATATACGTATTTGGGTCATGAAATAAGAATCAGCAGGGATAACCAAACATGTGAAATCCAAAGACGAATTACTTTAACATGGGCAGCCTTTGGAAAACTGCGAGACACTTAGGGCCAACATACCAATCAGCCTCAAAAGAAAAGTGTTTGACCAATGCGTATTACCGGTCATGACCTATGGGGCGGAAACTATGACTTTAACCAAGACCACGGCTTCGAAACTGAGAGTGGCACAGAGACGAATGGAACGGTCTATGCTGGGAGTGACGTTGAGGGACCGAATAAGAAACGAAGATCTGCGAAGAAGGACGAGCATTACTGATGTTGTGGAACGCATAGCGGAACTAAAATGGAACTGGGCAGGCCATGTAGCGAGAATGTACGATTCACGATGGACGAGCAAAATTACAAATTGGAGACCAAGAGCAGACAAACGCAGTAGAGGAAGACCACCTACACGTTGGGCCGACGACATCAGGCGTATCACTAAAAATTGGCAACAAAGAGCAGAAAATCGTGAGGAATTGAGGAGTTTAAGGGAGGCCTATGTCCAGCAGTGGACGTGATAAATAGAGGCTGGATGATGATGATGATGATGATGATGATGAAATTCAAGAATAAGGGCACTGAACGTGAAATCAAATCTTTTTCGTCAAAAGAAATAATAATAAATTACGATGCCCTCTGAGAATAAAACAAAAAGCAGAAATCTGTATTCGTATCCGTGAAGTGTAGAGGTACTATTCTTATTCTTTAAGTTACTCTTCTATCAAAGGTTGAAAATCATCATGTCTCTGCAGACCCTGTTGACTGCCGCTCTGAGTAGTTTTGTACTATTGCATTCAAACCTTTCCTCCAAGTTCTTAAGCAGATATTTTTCGTATTCCCTCATTTCGCTTTCCTCGAATTTTGCCTTGAATAATAAGTTGCAATAATCAGTATTTTGGCTCTCTCATCACATGTCCTAAGTACGCAGATTTTCTTCTTTTGATTCTTCTTTTTCTTTATGTATCTATCCGTTACGAATGTTGGCTATCATCATGACAATCTTTATCTGATCTGCAGCAGCACGAAAAAGCTGCACAAATGTTGTATTGAACCACATTCTGAGATTCTTTAACCAATATGTTCTTCCTGGACCTCTTTTTCCAAATATTTTCCTTGCAGGATGGCTTGAAGGAGAGCATATCTGGATTCATTTCGCATAATATGTCCGAAGAATTGTAACTTTCGAGATTTGATAGTGATCAGTACCTCTCGGTTCTTATTCATTCTTCTGAGGGCCTTGTCATAATAAATAATAACAATATAAAATATGCCATAAAAATGGCATATTTAATATACAAAATTTCACTCGTTTTTGTCGAGAATAAATGGGTACCTCCTTATCTTCTTCTTCTCGTGCCACTCCTAGCGGAGATTGGAAATCATCATGGCCACTGTGACTTTGTTAGCAGCGCGCCTAAAAAGTTCAATCGAACTACACCCGAACCATTCACGTAGATTACGAAGCCACGATATTTTTCTTCTTCCCACACTTCTTTTGCCCTGCATGATGTTTCTTAAAAGTTCGTACTTTTCACCTCTCACAATGTGCCCCAAGTATTCCATCTTTCTAGTTTTTATCTCATTTAGAATTTCGCATCTTTTGTCTAAAGTTTGGAGTACTTGCGTGTTAGTGACTCGGTCCATCCATGATATTCTGAGAATGCGCCTATAGCACCACATCTCGAAAGCTTCGATGTTTTTATGGTCAACTGTTTTAGTGTCCAAGCCTCAACTCCATATAACAGGGTAGAAAAGACATAACACCGCAGTATTCGTATTCGTAACTTTATATTGATATCACGATTGCAAAAGAGTTTGCGCATTCTATTAAAGACTGATCTAGCGATTTCTATTCTACATCTAATCTCTTTTGTTTGATCAGTATCGTCTGTGATCCAAACACCTAGATATTTATAACAGGGCACACGCTCAATCGTTGTATTGTCTATTACAAGATTAGCTCTGATGTTCTTTGATTTCGTGATTACCATAAATTTAGTTTTTTTCAAATTAATTTTCAAGCCGTAACTGTTACAGTATATATTGAGACTTTGAACGAGATGTTGTAGTTCTACTAGCGTTCCCGTTAGGAGAACTGTATATCGTCAGCATACCTTATATTGTTGATCGTCTCACCATTTATTATCAGACCAAGATCTTCTTCCTCGAGTGCTTGTTCACAGATAGCTTCACTATACAGATTAAACAAAAGTGGCGGATACATCCCTGCCGGACTCCTCGACGGATTTGAATTTCTTCTGTTAGTCTGCCCTCAACCTTGACATTTGCTGTTTGATTCCAATATAAATTGCTTATAATTCGAATATCTCGACTGTCTATATTTTTCTTTATTAGAACTTGTCTTAGTGGTTCATGTTGTACTTTGTCATAGGCCTTTTCGAAATCAATAAAGCAGGCGTAAATTTCTTGGTTAATGTCTAAGCATTTCTGTGAGAGAACGTTCATTGCAAACCTCCTTATGGTTTTTCCTAATTGTCCTTGTACAAGGGAGGGTCGTCGACCTCAAATTCAGAAAATATTTTTTATTCGCGAAATATAGGGAACTTTTTTTAATTACAAAAAGTCATTTATAAGCCAAATAAAAAAATAATGAGTTATAAATTGAAAATAGTTCTGAATTTATTAAAGAAAAACCTACATTGGGGTCAAAATGGTTACCCCTCTTGGTCATCGGAAGATTAAAACCTTTAAAAACTTTAAAACAGCATCAAAATTGACCATAATACATTAGAATGATCAATTTAAGTTATTTTAAAATGTAATACCGTCATTTTTACTCTGTTTGGCGTATCAGAAACTGAATTCACTATGAATTTTGACCATGGTGAATGGCACGTGGAATGCATATTTTAGATTCCCTTGGCGACTAATTCATCAATCTGTCTGCTCTGTAAGTTATAGAAAGCACAGTGGTAAAGATTTAAATTCAGTTTCGCCAAGTAGGAAATCTTATGATTCCTCTTGTTGTTAAGGTTATTTGTTACAAATTTCTTACTATACAACTAAATTATTATACATTACGAAATTAAATTCATTCCTTTAAATTGGCTCTCGTATAGATATCAATTTTGTAAATATAATCATTTCATTTCAGAACAAGCGAGGATATGGAGTTAGGAGGAAAGTGAGTATCAATAACTTTTATTTTATATAAATTTCAATCTACTGAGTAATACATTTTTACATTTAACTGTTGTGATATTAGTTTTCTTCATTTCTTCACCTTGTTTTTCTTCTTCTTTCTTCTTGTATGTAGGCGTTAAAGCCTGTTTCTTCTTCAATATTTCTTCTTCTAGTTCCATGACCGTTATCGATCGTTGGATATCATGTTGGCTACCATATTCGCTATCGTGACTTTATTGACAGCAGCTCTAAATAACGATGTAGTTGATTTTCCATACCATTGCCTTAGATTTTTCAGCCATGATGTTCTTCTTCTACCAGGACCACGATTACCTTGGATCTTTCCCTGAATGATCAGATGTAAAAGATCATATTTTTCAGGGTGTCTCATAATATGACCGAAGTATTCCAGCTTGCGTTTCTTTATTATATTGACCAGTTGTGTTGTTTGGTTCAGCCGTCTAAGGACCTCCTCATTTCTAACTCTGTCGACCCAGCTTATTTTCAGTAGTCGTCTGTATACCCACATCTCAAAGGCTGTCAAGCGTTTAAGCATAGCCTCAGTTAGGGTCCACGCTTCTACTCCATACAGCAGGACAGGAAAGATGTAGCAAGATATCATACGAACTCTAAGGTCAATGCTAAGATCATGACTGCAAAGTACGTTTCTCATTTTTACAAAGGCAGCTCGGGCTTGTTCTATTCGGCTTTTAATTTCTGCGGTTGGATCCCAGCTCTCATTGATATTACTGCCGAGATACACGAGTTTCTCTACTCTGTCCAGTGTGGCATCTCCGACTTTTATACCGTCATCATGTATATAATTTTGTTTGCTAACTATCATATATTTAGTTTTCTTAACGTTGAGTTTTAGTCCATACTGATCACAAGTCTGTTTTATTTTGTTCATTAGATTTTGAAGGTCTTCTCCGCAATTGGCAAGGACTAAGGTATCGTCGGCATATCTAATATTGTTGACGGTTACTCCATTCACAATAATACCTTCGGTTGTCTCCATTAAGGCTTCCTTAAATATTTCCTCCGAATATAAGTTAAAAAGTAAAGGCGACAATATACAGCCTTGTCTCACTCCTCTTTTTATATTTATTTCATCCGACAGTTCTTGTTCAACCTTTATTCTTGCCACTTGATGCCAGTATAGATTTGTAATTATTCGTAGATCTTTATCGTCCAATCCAGCTGTTTCCAATATTTCTAGCATTTTGTTATGTCGGACTTTGTCAAAAGCTTTTTCAAAATCGATTGCACAAATATACACATTTTGATTTATATCTCTGCATCTCTGTACTAGCACCTGTATACTAAACAAGGCTTCTCTTGTACCCAAGCCACTCCTAAACCCAAATTGAGTATTGCTAATTCTGTCCTCTAACAGCGTATAAATTCTGCTGTGTATTACTCGCAGAAAGATTTTCAAAACGTGACTCATCAGACTTATTGTCCGATAATCACCGCATGTCTTTGGACGATGTTTCTTAGGTATTGTGACAAATGTCGACTTTAACCAATCAGTTGGTAATATGCCAGTGTCATAAATTCTGTTAAAGAGATTACACAGAGCTTTAATTCCATTTTCTCCCAAAAACTTTAGTATTTCAGCACTTACTTCATCGGGGCCAAGTGCTTTTCCATTTTTTGCCGTTTGTATTGAACGTCTTACCTCACTTTCTGTTATAGATGGACCTGATATAGCAATCGGTGTATAGTGTTCTACTCTCTCATCTTCAAATAATTCAGAAATGTAGTTTTCCCCATTCTTTTAACTTTTCATTGATGTCTAATATTCTGTGTCCGTTTCTGTCTTCTAAACTTTGGGATACTTGTTTCCATTTGTTTCCAGCGACCTCTTTCAATTTCTTGTGCAGATGAAATGTATCGTGTTTCTTTTCATATTGTTGAATTTCATTACATTCTTTACTATGAAATTGTGTTTTCGCGTGTCTTATCTTCTGCCTGATTATTGCGTGGATCCTCTTGTATTCGTTTTTATCTTTATTTCTGACTTCTCTTCTTTGATCCATAAGTCTCAGTATTTCTTCTGTCATCCACCCTTGTTTTTTTCTTGCTTTTAGCGCACTCAATTTTGTTTCTTGAACAGTCTTTAAGATCTCTTTAATTCTCGTCCAGTTTTCCTCAGTACTTTCTTCTTTGTTTGCTGTTAACTTCATCTTTTGTTCTAATATACTAGTTATTTCTTGTTTTACAGTATCATTTAGCATCGTTTCTCTATCAATAGTAACTGTTTGCTTATTCGTCCTTGCAACTCTTTTTAATCTCAGTCTTATTTTTCCTACTAAAATATTATGATCGGTTGGTACATCTGCTCCTGGATATGTTTTTTACTGATAATACTGAATTTCTGTATCTCTTCAATATTAGCCTCCTAAATTGTTTAAACTATCCCACCATCTTTTTCTTGGTCTGCCAATACTTCTTCGTCCATTTGGTGACTTGTTTCGTGCTATTCTTCTTATGTTTTAGCTTCTCTCCCTATCCAACAGACTTCGCCCTGATATTCGTCGGAGTATTTTCATCTCTATTGTTTCTAACAGTCGTCTCGTTTTAGATGTGTCAAGTGTTGTCCCCGCCGTGTATATTAATATAGGTCTAATTGCTGCTTAGATAGATTCTTGTTTTTGTGTCTTGTCTTAGATGTTTGTTCGTCCAGATTGTGTCATTAAGCGATCCCGCCGCTTTACTTGCTTTTAAGCTTTGTTGTCGTACTTCTTCTTCAACATCTTCGTAACTAGTTATATCTATTCCCAGATATCTAAACCATGCTTCCTACTTTATTTTTTATTTAATTTCTTAAGAAATTAAATAAAAAATTGAGAATACCATTTTAATATCAATTATTTTTTTATAAAGTCTAGTGCAACCTTTGACCGATAGATTTAATTGCATAATTAATTTGATCTTGAAAATTTACCGTCACGCTATACGAGGGACTATCAAATAGAAACAGAAAAATTCACCGCAATACCCGACAAATGAGTTTAGTTCAAAATTGATTTGCTATATATGCCTACATAAAAAATTGGAAGGCTGCATGATCGGTGTGTCCACACGTTTGCTCCGAAATAATCTCATCTGTATTCCAAAACAGTTTTTGAATGGTAGTAACCCTATATTTTTCTTGCCTTACTGCTATATGGCAATACTTCCAGGAGTACCTACTGCATATTTACTCAAATTTTCTTAACTCTAAATATTTTTATGTTTCAATAAATTTAAAGCATTTCATTTGTTTTTTTTTTTTCATCATCATTATCATCATCATCATTTAACCCGGATCTATCCACTGCTGGATATAGGTCTCCGTCAGTCTTTTCCATGTATTTCTGTTTTGTGCTGTTTGCATCCAATTTTTGTCGATCCGTTTTATATCATCAGACCATTTTGTTGGTGGACGACCTCTACTTCGATGTGCTTCTTGTTTCGATCTCCACTGTATTATTCGCTGTGTCCATCTGTTATCCGACATTCTAGCTATGTGCCCCGCCCAGTTCCACTTAAGGGTCATAATTCTTTCTATGGCATCTGTCACTCCTGTTCTCCGTCTTATTTCCTTGTTCGTGATCCCTACGAGAAATGCCTAACATCGATCGTCCCATGGCTCTTCGGGTAACACAAATTTTATTTCTTACTTTCTTATTTTTTTTTTATACAACAATATTATTTTTAGAAATGCCTCAAATATTATATACATCAATGAAACAAAAGAGCAGCCCGAAGGAGACTCCAATTTCCAAACCTCTCCACAAATTGCTCCCAAACCAATAAAAGTCCAAACTCCCATTACTCCAATGCCCACTTTCGGCACCTACAACCTGTTCAACTTATCCAACTTCAACCAAATACACTTCCACAGGGCGCAAAAGAATCCACAGACGAATCGGCCACACGAAAGCTAACGGAAGTTCTTGAAAACATGTTACAGGCTCAAGCAGAGGAGAGGAGCGACGATTCGATGGGAAACAAAAAATTTCTGATGTCTCTTTTACCGTTTATGAGAAAATTACCCGATGATGTTAACTTGGAAGTTAGGTTGCAGTTGATGAGTGTTCTGTTAAGTTATGGAGGTAAAGATCTTATTGTGGGATGATGTGCTACATTGAGTAAAATTGGCATGCCATTTTGTATATACCGTGTTCAATTTGTAATTTATCGTTTTAATAAAATAAGTTATATATGAATTAGTCTTTTTTTATTTAACTATTTCCTCATTCTGAGTTACAAATCTGACGGAGAAGCAGGCGGGAATTCGGTTAATCTTGAGGGCACACGTGACTCTAATTCAGGCGAAAGTCGCCGCTATACAAGCTATAGTAAAGACATTCAGTTCCGTGCTGGTTAATTTAAAACTTATCTGGGACTATTTGGATGAAGGCAGATCATATGGACCAAAAAGGCGTCTGCAACCCACTGGTTAGCCCATAGACCTTCTTTAGAACTGAAAAAAAGTCTTATATTCTAACCTTTAGCTCAGTAGGCACCTTCCAGAGAATTTACTGTTTCAATGGGTGGCTTACATGACGCCTTGAGTGTATTAGAGATAGGTAAAAGGTCTACTGTATATTGACGGGGAGCTTATATATAACATCTCTGCCGAAGCTCCGGTGACTTGTATAATAATTAATAGAAGATGTACAATAACCCTGCACAACGAAACAAGCGAAAATGGGGAGTTTTTATAAATTTTGCCACCAGTAAAACATGGTTATGGTTCCACATGCTTACCACATAAAGACATACACAAAATGACATGGATTTTACCAGATGGAACCACAACCAATCAAATCGACCATGTGCTGATAGACAAAAGGGCAGCCAGTAGTATCTCAGATATGAGAACACGACGAGGAGCATGCTGTGGATCGGACCATCTTTTACTCCAAACCAAATTTAGATGCAGAGTTAACAAAGAAAGAAATGAAAGGCAACAAAGAAGAAACAAACTAGACCTGGAAAAACTGAAGGTTCAGGAATGTAAAGAGAAGTTTGACGAATTTTTATTAACCTGGCACTGGAGTATGCGGTTAGGCAAATGTAAACTGGACGAGGAAATCTACTGACCAACCAAACGGTTCAATTGGCCACTTATGCGATAATATTAATATTATGAGTAGAACATCAACAGGAGCACAGGCAACATACGCAGAGTTAAAAACGCAAGCAAAAGGCTAGATCTGTAAATTAACACAGAAAAAACAAAAATAATGATACAGACGAGAAGAAATATAGTCCCGCATAACATTATAGATGAAGATGACATTGAAACGGTTGGAAAGTTTACATACCTGGGAGTAAAAATAATGCAAGGTAACCTATTATCGGCACCTTTAGCACCTTAAGTACAATGGAGTTTCATTTTAATCAGTTTAGTAACCAAATTACCTGAACAACGTGTATTTAGATTATGGTTTGGGCTAATAAAATCTATCACAAAGTATGTGAAAGAGCAATTTTTTTTCTTTTCGTTTTCCAATTCTTTTTTTATTCGCTATTCTTCCCGCTGCATTTTTAGCTGCTCTTCTTGTTTTTTCTTGTAATCTTGTTGACACTGTAAAGTTGCTACGGCTGGTACCTTATCCTTTATCACTTTACGCTTAGCAATATTTTCCTTAGGTGTAGGCCAAAATAAACCAAAACCCCCCACCCAGAGCAAAATTCTAGGTGCGCTACTGTTTCGCTGAGAAATTAATTGTCCAAATTTTGAAAATAGCGGCCATCTAATCATAAAATAATCTTCTTGCTTTGCGACGCCGACAGTAATATCGTATCGAAACTTTTTAAAAATATGTAACCTTAGCTAATAAAAAATATAATACTGTTAAGGACACCCAATAATTCAATTCTTTTCCATTATAATTGAGATAGGAGGAATGTAAATTAACATATCTTATCGCCCTGACTAAACATCATTCTCTGCTGAGTGTGCGATGACCTCATTCGGTTAAGCAAAATTTGCTGAAAGAGCGCCGGCTAATATTCAAATGTGACGAGACAAATTAATAACAGATAATGTCGGCTACCGTGTAAACAAAATACCGAAATATTTAGAATAACGATGTAACGATATATATTTCTTAGGGTATTAGATAGTAACGAACATATTATAGTAACTAGTAGTAATTACTTTTTCGACATCACTAAACTTCATTATTGGGCTTTCCTTCGAGGCTAATGTAATAATTGTTTTTCATCTAATTCTTGTTCCCGGAGTACGGGGGACGAAGATTTAAATAGTTCTAGTTGGAGTAGTGAGAGTTGGAGTTCTAGATCTAAAACAGCTAAAAGCAAATTTGATGAGTTTTTCGAAATAATTCATGCATCCCAAATTGGTTTGTGTAAATTGGGCCTACTTAGAAAGGTTGAAATAAAAATGAAAAACAGAAACAACTCAAATTTAAGTAAGCATCTAATATCTTTTCACAAAAAGAAATTACAAATATTTCTTCCTGAAAAACCAAAATTCGGTGGAGATATCACAAGCTTTTTAATAATTGCTGGAAAAAAGTAGAAATGTAAAAAAATATATTTATTACCTTATTACCAACTGCATATATTATGTACCTACTACTTTATTTTGGTAAATTAATGTATTTATTAAGTAGGTATCTCTTTAATTTAAAATAACTTAATTATCATTGCTTTTTTACCGATTTTATATTTTTACAAGTTAGTTTTTTATATAAAAGTAGAGCTAAGATTGTTAACAACATTTATTTTGCTTTAATAAGTGGATTATAGTTTGTTATCTTATCACCTAAAGAATCTGTGCCCTTGATACATGTATGTGGATTTTTTGCCACATACTAATCTTTTTATTTTTTCTCGGCTTTGCTTGTCTCCACTCAAGCAAAAAAAATTGCTTGAGTGGAGACCACGGACTGACAAGCGAAGCCGAGGAAGACCCCCAACGCGATGGACCGACGACCTCAAAAGAATCGTGACCAATTGAATAGTAGAGGCGCAGAACAGAAGCAGATGGAAAAATCTAGAGGAGGCCTATGTTCAACAATGGACAACTCAGGGCTGATTGATGATGATGAATCTTTTTAAGATTTCCAGTTCATGTATGGTGGGGTCCATCAATCCCTTTCTAGACAGATAATGTTCTTTAAAATATAGTCAAGTTTATGTCATTAATTTGGTTTTTTTTATATTTTAACTATGTTTTAGCTCACGTAAATTTATTAAATGCAAACGTTTATTAAGAAACAGATTGATTTTCGTGGGGCATGGTAGATAAATTAGAGTTAGTTAAAGCATAGGCACGGATCGCTTAGATCGTGGTTTTTAATAAAACGCAATAGGTTAATGGGAAACTGCAAGACCAAGACCGAGAGTGTAAGACCAAGACCACGTGTACTGGCGCAAGACCAAGACTGTCTAAGTCTCATCTTGTTCTTGCATTTGGGCAACACTAAGGAAAATACTAGGACCTATGAGGGAAAACGGAATTTTAATAAGTCGATACAACAACGAGCTTTATCAACTTTATAAGGAAGCACCACTGTCAGACTTCATTAGAATACAAAGATTGCAATGGGCCAGACATGTGATAAGAATGATAGAGGCTATGCTACCAAAAAGAGCACTGAATGCTAGAATTCAGGGAAAGGAGGTCAAGGCTCAATTTGGGCTGTAGTACCGTAGAAGAAGAAGTACAATAACCCAATTGTCAGAAAAGAAAAATTTCTCCCAATTTCGTGAGGCCTTTTATTTTGCTGAGGAATTTACTGAGCCATTTGTAAAGATTTAGTAAAACAAAATTTCAACATTTACCTTCAAAAGTGTTTTTCTATGATATTAAAGATCAAATCTTATCACATTCCATAGAATCTATTAGTTTAACTTTTTATCGAAAAGTGTATTACTGTTTGTTAGCAGAACTTGAAACGAAGACTTTCTTCACGATATGCAATATCTAAAATGGTTGAGGTCATGTTTATTAAGCATAGGGCATCTAGAACTCCCACATTTTTATTTTTAATAAAGGTAATTTAACTATCTACTGTAAATCATCCGCATACCATAGAATAAACGGTTTAATGTTAGCCTAGAAAAGCAAGGTGCGCTTTACAATAATTACCCATATTTTAATCGCTAATAATTAGAAATAAAAGTGTGAATAACGCGGGGTTTCGAGAATCTGTTACTTCATAATGACCCGGTAATCAATGGTGAATGATTTCACGTTAGGTATATCTAATCCATCGACCAAGAAAGAATCGAAGCAGCAAGACTACTAATTTATTTGGAATCACTACAATGTAAAATTTAAGGAAGAAACTTTCCCGTAAAATCAGATTTTAACAGTTGATATAACTACCAGTAAGCTCAGTTACGGTATTTTTCGTATACACGGTGTGCTCGTTTTATCGAAAAGGCCGCCGGATAGCGCGAAATTAAAATTATGTGATTGTTCATATACAGGGTGTTTGAAAAAGGTATGTCATAAATTAAATCACGCATTTCGGGGACAAAAATAAATTGATTGAATCCAACTTACCTTAGTACAAAAAATTTTTGCCTCATCACTTTTTTTTGTTTGACTTACGGTCCTTTTCATTAACATTTAAAAAATTAATGGCTTAACTATAAAAAAATGGCTTAAATGAATTAACAAGTACAAAAAATGTCTATAACGTCTATAAATATGATATTAAAATAAATGTTCAAAATGACCCCAATTTTCATCAATACACATTCGAAATCGTTTTGATAAGGAAAACCTAATGCCCTGAAAAATCATATTTTTATGACGAAATTTATTTGCAGCTTCAATTATTCTAACCCTCAATTGTTGTTCGTCCTCTATTGTTACAGAATACACTTTCTCATAAACCCTCAAAAGCAAAAGTCCATGAGGTTAAGACCTGGACTTCTGGGTGGCCAAGAAATAGGTGCATTCCATGAGGTTAAGACCTGGACTTCTGGGTGGCTAAGAAATAGGTGCATCACGGCCTCTTCTGAAAGAAATACTGGGCCTATTAGATCGTTATCCACAATTCCTGCCCAAACATTAACTTTTGTGATGAGTTGTTTTTTTGGCATGAGGATTTTCATCCTCATCATTCCATGGCCCAAATGTGCTCGTTATCATCATCATCAATGGCGCTACAACTCTTTGTGAGTATTTGCCGCGTTTACTATTGCCTTCCATGTTTGTCGGTCCTGTGCCAGTAAT